CCTACGTACACATCTGGTCAGACTGGACCGGCGCGCGGCGGCCGGCCCCAGTCACCCGCAGGTGTCCAATCGCAGTGGCGCGGCACGAGCGCCCCCGTACGTACCCATTGTCGATGGCGGCGGCGCGCGGCGGCGGCCCCATGTACCAGTGTCAATTCGCGGTGCGCAAGGCGGCACCCCAACTACGTACCCCATTGATCGATTGGAGCGGCGACGCGGGACAAGCGGCGGCCAACCCATCGTACCCCACAGTGTCAATCGCGCCGGTGGGCGACAGCGGAACGCGGCACGCACGCGCAAACGAGAAAACAACAAGACACCACACGACCCTACGTAGCCAATATCGTCCGGATGGCGGCACACCGACGCAGAAGAGAGAGGAGACAAGCACAACAAATAGTAAAAAAAAACAAAAAAAAAAAACAACAACAAGAAGAGACAGTGTCCACGTCGGGTGCGCGGAAAACGGCAGCCCCTATGTACGCGCAATTGTACAACTAGCCGGCATGTGGACGGGGCGCCCCCACTTACATACCCACGTCTCGTGTGATGGCGCGCGCCCGACCCTAACAGATCCACCCCGTTGTTCGAGATGGCGGCGGACTCGAGTGCAAAACGAAACAGGCAAGAGAGCTCTCGAAGGTGGCCACAGGCACAGCCTCCAGCCGGCGATGAAATTGTGCTGCGGATGGATCTTGCCTCGAAAGCGAGCAATACTCGGCTTCCTTGAGGAGCGCTCGCAGTAAGCACGGTGACGGACGTCGTGCCTCACGAGCTCGGAGTCCTGCACGCGCGGAATCTCCGCAAGGCAAGCCGCACACACATCAAACAGTGTAACCAAACGACACACACACACAGCACTCATCTCAGGTACCATTGCTAGCCTCGTCTATAAGATTACCTAGTCTCGCGCAACTCGCGAGATTCTCTGGAAGGCAAGCCGCGCACATCTATGTCATGTACACAACAACAATACAACACAACACGCACGACGACGGCAACGGGCACCGCATGACAGGCACACACACCACAACACGACACTTGCGGCCAACACACTCTCATGTCAGGTACGCGTTGCTAGCCGCCGGCGTCTGTAAGATTACCCTAGTTCCTGCACCATGCGTATCTTTTGCAAAACAAGCACGCGCGCAGCCCATTCACACATCAACGTCACCGCACCCCCTCTCGCCTCACCTCTGCTATGAAGATTCCTAGGCGTACTCACGCGTGAGAATCTCTCAGGCAAGCAAATGCATCGTGCATGCACATGTCATGTACAGCACAAAACAACGCTCCTCTTGCTCCGCTAACCCTCCCCCCACCCACCCACCGCCTATACAATTCATAGTCTTGCACACGCGTGATCTGTGCAAAGCAAGCAGCTAGGTAGCTATTGCTTTATCTACTCGCCCCTGAACAAATACCAGGGCTTTCAATCAGTTTCACATTCCACCACCATTTTGAAACACAAAAAATAAATGAATTAATACTTATATTTTTATTACAAATCTGTTTCCAGTCATTTAAAAAATAAATGTTCAATAATAATTATGATAATAATTCAATTTTTTCCCAATACTTGATCAAATAACAGTCCTATGGCGAATTCATTACAGCTTACCCACTAGTACTTTTGCAGCAGGATTGTCCACAGATATAGACTTTAGTATGGTGGCACCATCATTTGTTACGTGAATTTCTCCGCTATTGTGCCGACCTTGACACTGTAGAATTTTGTCCTGTTGGAAAAGCCGATAACACGTGGCAGTGTTTTCGATCAGTTTATGAAGGCACGGAGCACTTTGATAAAACAAGAAATGATGTAGAATCTCAAGGGTTTAACTGAAGTTAGTCTAAAAAAAATGTTATATATGTCAGACACAAAGAAATTTAGGAACAGAAGATACCAAGTACTGCATTAAAAATCCGAGACAAAGTGAATATGACTTACCATGCCCTTTGGTCCCAAAGTAGTTTTTACCAGGTCTCCTATGGCAATTGCTCCAACAAAGGAGGACTTAAAAGCAATGCAAAGTTGAAAATTTACTAACAAATATAATGAATCATTACAAAATGGGACACAACACAAAATGGCGACACATCAATCTGACACAAATGGGACACATCACGTCACGTCACAAAACGGGAAGTATTACAGACTGTTACTTGTTCATCAAACTGCGCCTATAATTGTGCACATGCTTACCAGACGAGCGGTTTCGCCCCTCTCCTCCTCTGCTGCCGCTTTCAAAATGTTCACATGTTGCAATGAGAACTAAAATAATGCAATGCATAAAAGTTATAATATTAGTCAACGTCGGACTGACACTAACAATGCAAAACTAACCAAAAACTGTCCAAATGTAATACATTGTATTTAGCAGAATAGGGAAGATTTCCTAACAATGTAGCTGCCTAATTTAGCTTTTACACTGGTCAATATGTTGATTTAGTGACACAAGCTACACAATATTCAGACTATATTTAAACATCACATACCACAACTATATCTTTTAAGAGTGGTCTTCTTTACACACATGTATTCTTTTATAATTAAACCTAGCAGAATGGTTTTACATCATTCATAAATTAGATTTACCCATGAAACATAGGCAATTAAGACATGAATGAAGCAAACTGCAAAACACAATGTTCACCAAAAACAGTGATGAAAATTAAAACTTGGGCAGTTTTCCAAAAACATTTTGGATCCCAGAAATTCATCAGAATATCGCCTAGAACTTCAGGGTTTGTTTGCATAAGTAAAAGTTCCATAATCAGTGGAATCACTAGGGTTTAAGTTATAATCACGCTCCTACAATTTGTTTATCATTTGCTAGGACACCGACAGATTTTTTGACCACTAGCACAATGAAAGTGTCAATGACACTGTAGCTCCCTACAAAAAAAGACACAAATGAGTGAGTGAGAAGAAGTCAGTTTTAATTGAGCAACCATCGACGTACATTATAGAAACGAAGAGTATATATGGGAGAACTTCCATTATATACTCTTGATAATTATATGTGTAATTTATTATGTGAAAATAAATGTTTGAGATGTGAAAGTCTGAGATGTGGGCGAGTGATGGCGTTACACCTAAATGATCGCCATTTAACATTTTTATAATATTCAGATTTAGTAACGTGTAAGATTGAGAGGATACCCTACGCTTATTCCACGTAGCTGCTATATACCACATGACAATGGTGTTTCCCTGACCATAACACAACTTTTGTCAAAGGTTAATTGGTTGCATGGAAGTGTTTACTTCGTATGAGTTTTTCTAGTCAGTAGCACACGGTTGCCGATCTGTATATCGCAATAATTTATAAACCACAAGAGCCGCAGAGCGTCTGGGCTCATCTGAGGTCTGTTGCTACGAAACGTAAAATTTCAGTCGTGCGTAGTACCACATTTGTTAGGCGCAGATATGCAGACACGCAGTTGCGTACACATCATTGTTAGGACACGCCCACTATCGCAGATGGAGGGTAGGGGGAATGTGTGCGTGCGTGCGTGCGAGCGTTTGTGTGCGTGCGTGCGAGCGTTTGTGTGTGCGTGCGCGCGAGCTAACTTCATCTACGCACCTGTTGATGAACACGTTGCAGCCGTGGCTGAGAATGAGTGCAACCTTTTCCTTCATCTTCTGCTTCTCCGCGACCTCGAGTTCCGCGACCTTTGACACGGCGTCGACGCGAACGCGAGAGCCAAACACCTGAACGTCACAACCACAAGGTTAGCAAGATGCCGACTGTTACCGTTTGACACCACGGCATCAACACACAATGTTCGTGAAAGGCAAAGACCATCTTTGCTAAAAAAAAACTTCGATTGAACAATCATTTGTAAAACACAAGTGATCACCTTGAACTCCGATTCGAATTTACTAAATAATTTGAGGATAAAGTAGAAAAGGTGGAATGAATAGAAAACCATTATGTGATCACTCCTTTGTCAGCTCATATCGCCCAGCTTTTAGCAGTTTTTAATATATATAATAACAAAATATAACCACCAGACAAATTCTGCCATTCATCAACATCCCTCCAAAGCACGTACATACTATATTTACACACATGCTTAAAAGAGAACACGCCACAGAAACCTGCGCGGCACACACGAACCTACGCAAACCAAAAGCGTCGTCATCGCGAAAGAAAATTGTTTTTTTAAACAATTGAAAAAAATTGGAATTGAAAAAACGAACGAGCGAACGCATCGCGCTGCGCGTCGCTCCACCTACTTTGATCTTGTCCGTGTCCATGGCCGTGTTCGTGAGCAGGATCTTGCAATTCTGCATGCGCCTCGGCTGGTTGATGCCCATCTTCTTGTCGAGGAGGAAGCCCTCATCAAGGTACGAGTCCGTCATGCTGCCGCCGAGCTTCTTGATCAGCTGGATCGCGTCCAGGTTGCCCGAACCCTGGCGAGAAAACACGAGAACGTGCTGTGACGTCTCCCGTTGTCGTCCTAGCGCGCAGCGGTCGGTTCTGCTCGCTCAGCCGACATCTCAGTACGCCTATGGCCTATCTCTTTAAATTAGCTTTTAATGTATAGGATTTTTTTTTCTAATTTAGTGATTACATACTCTACTTTGTTTTAATATCATTGTATCTCGCAGTTGTAACGATATATCTCCCGTATACATATTTATTTCATTTTATTGTTCATTCGTTTGCGATATCGATGTGCTGCGCTTTTGATAATTTTATGTAAAAAGGCACAATATAAATCGTGCGACCGCCCGTGCGTTAAACGTTCCTCTCCGCCCGCCGCCTTGCCGGAGACATAAGGAGACCAACCACGCGCGCACTGAACGTGTAGGCGAAACAGCTCGGCCGCCTCGCCCTGCCACGGCCAGCCAGGCCTGCTGCGTTGCTATCTCAATGCGACACCAACGCTTATCCACACCGACCGCGTTCTCGCCCGCCCTGCCCTTGTACTTAGCCCAGGGTCAACGCGCGCCCCTCGCCTTCTACCTGCCGTTCGCCTCAACCTCCCGTGCGCTCAGCCACCCCGGTGAGCGACTCGTTGAGAGGAAAAAAGAGCGCGGCACTAACTACACGTCACCCGAACGCACTCTCCCCACGGCAAGGCGTGCGGTAGCTCCGGCTTGCCGCCGGGCAAGCGAACGACCAAGCGGCAGGAGGACGTGGGTGCTAGTCGCAGGTGGCGGGGTTGCGTTGCCTCGCCGGGCCGCCGCCCGCGGATGCACGTTGTCGACGCGCAGCACTCATCTCCGCAGCCTCCGACGCCACTCAACTCACCATCTGCCGCTTCACCTGGTACGATTCAGGGTAACGGCCGAGCGCGGCTGCACATCTGCCGAATGCAGCCCCGTACATGTCTGCCAGACTCGGAAACGCAGCAGGGAGCATCGTTAGTATTAAGTAAGCAGAATACGACGAGGATAGAAGCATAATACAATTAGAGAGGAAAGGCCTGATGCAAGCCATTCTACATGTTATCTGCAAAGGAAACGGCAGCAGGCGAGCATCGTTAGTATTAATTAGAAAAACGAGAATACGACGAGGTGATAGAAGATAAAAATTTTACGCATTCAGAAGTGGAAAAGGCCGATGCAGCCCATCGTACATTATCCGCAGACGCCCGAGAACGGTCCAGCAGGCCGTCGGGCCCATTGTTAGTATTTAATAGAGAAGAAATACAATGAAGATACGAGATAATACGATAGAAAGGAGACCAAGGCCGATGCAGCCCCAGTTACAGTTACAGAAACGAAAGAAAACGCAGCGGGGGGCTAGCGCCAAATGTATCAAATCCTGCATGCATCCGTGACCAAATGGCTTTGCGAAATCCCTAACAGCAAACGCGCACTAATATGTGAACAAGGTCTAACAAGTGGCAGACGCCGCCCCGCGGTGGCCTAAGCTGCTGCGCAAGCGACAATGCGTGACGTCAGGTGGGGTGTGCTAGCGACTTAACTCGAGTCAGCTGCATAGCTGTTGCCTGCCTTGTGTTCGCTCTTCAGGCTTGGACACGAGCTCGCGCTGTCGTAGCCCGCGTTCGTCGCGATGCCATACGTAGGCAGCTGCAATCACACACGCCAACAAAACGCCGAATTACGACGAACCGCTGTTGAACGACACAAGGCCGGAGTCATCGCTGACCCGAAAAATATTAACACTCCCCAGATCGCCCGAACGACGTCAAAATACGCTCACCAAACTACACATTGTTCAACTTAACAATCTCGCCAAACAAGCACACGCGTATCGCCGTGGTAGACACCAATGTCCGAATTGTACAAGACCCCCCTCCCAAACTTTTCAGCGCTGAGTCCGGGGGAGGGAAAACAAAATTTTTTTTATTGTCAACCTGACAAATGAATGACGTTGAGCCGAAAGAAGGTGTTACTATCATGGACGTACCATCCGTCAGGGCCTTTGCGTACGATTCAATAGGCCATGGCTTCTTTGCTCGGGGTCTCTGGCGAGTCTCTTCGCAGCATTGGCCATCAAGCATTCTCGCGCTACCTGCAGGTTACAAAACGGCATTGACATGTCGTCACACGAAACAAACCTTCACAGCCCGTTCACAAATTCGCTCATCCCTTAATCAAACAAACCACGCCAGCAACCCCAGCACGAAGAAGCAGCGATACCGTGGAACTGAATTGGACGGGGTTAGGCCCAAAAAATATTCAACAACCTCCCCTATGGCCTCACAAATACGTAATAGATAGCCGCATGCCGAGAGCCTAAGTAATTTAAAGTTTGACAATATTAATCTTAAAAGAGATTAAAGACTTCAGTCGACCAATCAGTTCGCAAGTCGGGCTCGATCAGGGGCCGGTGCGGCACCATTCTCACGCACCGGCGGTAAAGCCAAAAGCCCAGCTCCCCCTGCTGGGAGCTTACCTCCGCCCGTACGACGCTCCTCGCTGTCCTTGCACCTGTGTCTGCTGTGAGCACGCAGAGGAGCCCGTCGCTGCAGCCGAGCGCTCCGCGCTCATCCAGCGATCTGTGCGGTGCGCGCCCACGCCACACGATCGTGCCACGCCTCGCCCAGCGCACACCTGCGCTGAGGCAACCGCACGACAATCATGTAAGACCGATGACACGCCCGACGCAATCGTCAATTCGATAATTGATGGTTTAATTTATTAGAAAATAAAGTTATAACGCCTAATTTAAATTATGTAAGTTTATTCGTCCGTGTCACGTCAAAAAAAGGCAAGCTGCCAAGTTATGTTGGACACTGACAGTCAGCGAGTCCATCCCGACTAGTCGTTACTCTAATCTACTTCACCGCTAAGTAAATCTAGTACTTCGACTAAAAAACCACCGGTTAATTTCGAACCCTAGTGCAATGCCACACCACTTTTACAACAGAACTCAACATGTCTGACTCAGTCTAATCCCATAGCACAATCAAGGTAGCATCAGTGTGTTAGCCAGAGACTTGTCTACCCGTCTTGTTGACGGCTATTCTGAGAGACAGACTGAAATTGATTAAAGACAGCAAGAGGCCGCCCAATTGTATATATATACACCTTTGTAATAACTACAATAGTGCTTTATAAGAATATAAAATTCCTGTCGTTTTGGCATTTTCAGCGTAAATTTCCCTCCAATTTTAAGTAAGGCCCTCCCCCAGTAGGGCGCTTCGTGCCCGCGCATCCTCGCCTTCGCCTCAGATGGTGAGACGCCCTGATTTTTTTCCCTGGCTAAGCACCCTGCCGCCCAGGGACATTTACTCATGGCGCGCTTCATAATTACCACGTCGCTCTACTCTCATCTGGCCATCGCCTACCTGAAAACTTCAGCAGCCTTCCTCACCGAGGATGACCTCCTCAACCCCCCCAATCAAATCACACTGCCCAACTTCACCTTCTCCGCGGTTGCCAACGTTAGACACAATCTCGCCCCTGCGGGGTCGGAGCGGCAACGACAGTTTCATGTTCTTGTCTCTATTGGCAACATCACGGCATTTGTCGTACGTACTACGAAACCTTTCAGGCCACAAAACCCCGGAGATTCCACCTTTTCAAAATGCCATATCAAGGCCCACCGAATAGCCCCAAATTCTTCACTGTCACAAGCAAAAGGCCTCGAAAATTCGCCCCATCAGCCGTGGGTGGGTTTATCGGTCCAGACCTAGCACTTGACAACATCCACACTGCGGCCTGGGTGCGTGAGCTCCGCTATTCTACTCCGTCATGGCCATGGCCCACCGCTGCCATCGCGGGCACGGCGAGCACCAACTCAGACTGTGACCGAGTGCCAGCCTCTCGATGGCCCTCAAAGTTGCTGCAGTGTTCGATCGCCCATGACGCCGCAGTCTGCAAATCAGCTGCTCCTGGTAGTTGTAGACTCAGCTGCCTGCAATGCAGATCGAGCGCTCGAGTTGTGCGACTCACAACGCATGTGGGCGCTCCGGTCCGTGTGCTCCGTGGATGAAACGCTTGAACTGTCCGTTCCGATCCCGGAAAACGGGACCTAAATTTCGAGAATGAGTATTATCGAATCGAATGATTTTGGCTTGGGTTATGATAGTGCAGTTTAAGACAATTAATACATAATAGCCAATATTTAAAAAATAGAGATATACATATTATAATAATAAAGTACACCCTCACACATTAGATAGTATATACATAGTATCAAAGTATTTAAAAAATATTATATAGTTTATATATATACATCATAAGTAACATAATATATATAGATATTGACATATTAAACTATATATACGACTACGTTATCCTCTTCCTTATCGGATATGTAGGATCTTTGATGTACAAACATGCATATAATAAGCAATTTTTAGATCTTTCGTGTGATACCATAAAATGCATATAGATGATTATCAGGTTTTCCCCTAATTAATCCGCGTCCGGGCCTTCCCGTGTCCACTCCTGGCAACGTTCTATTTTTCACATTTATAGAATCAGGAAGCTGATAAGAGATCCTGTGTAATACAATAAATAGTAATGTCGCCCTGAATCTCTATGCAGCAGGTAATATAGCGAAGCCATATCGTAACGCAAGCCAATAAACGTTGAAACACCAATTACGCCACAGCTTCCGCGCACCCCTGCCTACCATTCTCATCATCAATTCACAGCTATCCCCTTCCATAATTGAATTTCACGAGCGACCAGCCCCCTACTCCTGTTCGGGACGGCACGCCCGAACAAAGTAGATGCCCAAGCATTTAAGAGTGTGCAATCAACATCTCTATCTGCAGCTGCCCCGATATAAAAGCGATGTAGTCACTAATAGATGGTTATCCAGTGTAATACTCATCGATATTACCGTAATTTCATTATCGAGCGTATTTTCGTCAGTGCGGTAGCGCGATGTTGCGTGCCCCGCTCGGAAGGCTTCCTCCGTGTTACGTCCCGGAGCGATGTCCCGCTCTGTCGTCGCGCGTGCTCCAGTCGTGCTTGTGCATGCGTGCGAAGTGTTTGCTGCGTGCATGCCTTTGTATGGCGTACGTCGTGCACGATGTTTGCGTGCCATGCCTGGCAGACACTGCCTGTTGCAGGCCTTTGCTTTCCCACTGGGGTTCGATCCCCTCCCCCCCCCCCCCCCCCCCCCCCCCCCCACCCCCCCCCCCCCGATTCGCTTTTCCCAGTCCCGTCAAATTTTGAGATTTCAACGCTTTAATTACATGATTCATCAGTTTAAAAAATCTGCCCCGTCGAGTAAATGATGGGACCCTTTTTTAGGCCCCCATGGTTTTCTCAGAAGGCGAAGCCTGCCTTTGTGTGTGCGTGTGTGCAAGTATTTTGTGTTGCTATGTGTGCTGTGTGGTGTCGCACATTCCACGATGTGTGGGCGACTGCGATGTGTCGTGTGTGTGGTGTTGGTGTTGTGGGTTGTGTGTTTGTGTGTGTCGTGGTGTCTTTCCTCCGCTGCTCGACACATTCTGTCCAGTTCTGGTTTGTGCTGAAGAAGATCTGACAGTTAATGCTCGAAGAAAGTACGTAGCCATTAATCGTGCAAGTTCTTTTCCTGTGTGTGTGAGCTATGTGCTGAGTCTGTCTAGCTGTGTGAATAAAATTAGCCTTTGTATGGATGAATGCTGTCTGTTGTTGCATGCGACATCCACTGCAAGATTTGCGGTGGCTGCATGTGCGCGAACGAAGATTCGAATGGCGTGCGTTTCCTTGAAGAGGACCACGCGTGTGCTGTGCAAGCGTGTATGTATGTGCATGCGGTGCACTGCGAGCATTGTGTGCATGCTGCGTGTGCGGCGCAGCGCTTTGGTGTAAATTTAAGAGCCGTGCCGTTGTGTTGTAAATGCGTGCCGTGCATTTGTTGCGGGGCGCCCGTGCGAGCGCTTTGTGGTGCTAAATGCGTTGCCGTGCATTTGTGCCGTTGGCTGCGAGCGTGTGTGTGTATGGAAATTGCGGCGCATTTGGGCCGGCGAAAGACCAGCACGCTCCGAGTGCGACCGTAACGTCATTTGTTGGCGACTGCGCCATGCGTGCGTGCAGCTTGTGTTGTAAATGCTGCCGTGCATTGTGTACGTGCAACGGTCCCGCCGGAGCTTTGGGGTGTAAATAGGCTTGTACGACGTGCATTTTCGATTTTGCGAGGCGAGATGGGTAATGTTAATAATTATTATAATAATGAATTATTTAATTAAATCTTGCATAGATGGCAGGCGGGTCCGGTAGTAACGGTCTACTGTTCGCTACTATATGATGAAATAGAATGTTTAGTGAAAAAAGCAGAAAAGCGTCCCGCTCCGCCCGGGCGTGCGAGCATTTGTGTAGCAGGCAGGCTGCTTCCGCGTGCGTCAGTGGCGACGTTGACATGGTGCGTGCGTCGTGAGCACGGCGAGCGTTCCAGGCTGGCGTGTGCCCGATACTCCACTGCGGCCGCGACCCCGCCACACTTCACTCTACCGGCACCTGGATCGAACACTCTGCAGCCGTGTTGAGAATGCAGTTCAACCGGTTTCCCTTCGATCTTCTGCTTCCTCCCGACCTCGATTTCCCGACCCTTTGACACGGCGGGTCGACGGGCGAACGGCCGCCGGTGGTGTTTAAGGTGTTTCGACCAGGCCGAGTCATGCCAACCACACTCGAAGACATTAAATCTCTGAACGGTCACAACCACCACAAATAGATGAATGTGTTTCCTAAGTTCTAGCCAAGATGCCGACTGTATTACCGTTTGACCACCGACGCATCAAACACACAATCGTTCGAGGAAAGGCAAATGACCATGTCTTTTGCTTAAAAACAAAAACTTCGATTGAACATATCATTTGCCTAAAACACAAGTATCACTGAACTCCGACTTCGAATTTTACTAAATAATTGAGATAAACTAGAAAAAGGTATCGCATGAATAGAAAACCATTACTTGACTCACTCCTTTGTCAGCTCATATCGCCCAGCTCTTTAGCCAGTTTTTAATGATAATAATAACAAAATATAACCCACCAGAGCAAAGTCTGCCTTCGCATCAACCTGCGAGTCCACTGCCCGCAAAGCACGTACATACGATATATTGTACAACACAGCCTAAAAAGAGAAACACGCCACAGAAACCTGCGCGGCACACGCAGGATGATTAATACCGAAAAAAAAGACCCTGAAATGAACGGCTAACTAAACCAAACATTATAGACTCACCTATTCTTTTTAATTATTTCCACCATATTGTGTCCGATATCCTAGCATATAAACTAAAGGGCGAAGGAAAACACGAAAAAAAAAATTGAAAACAAATGGAATTGAACAAAACACGATGTGCTGTGTGTTTATACTATACGCGTAAAATTAATATCAAGTTGCGCCGACGCCTCCATGGGGTGGTTCACACGCCCGGGAACCCCCAGAGGCGCGTGCCGCGATGGCGTGGTGCCTAGTGGCGGGTGCCGAACGCACTCGCGGCATCAAGGGGGGCGGCTGCGCGTCGGGGTATACTTTCGATCTTGTTCCGTGTCCATGGCCGTAGGTTCCGTCGAGCAGGCATCTTCAATTCGCATGCCCGCCTCGGCGGTGATGCCCATCTTCTGTCCGAGAGGAAGCCCTCATCAAGGGTACGAGACGCTCCGTCATGCTGCCGCCCCGAGCTTCTTGATCAGCTGGCATCGCCGGTCCAGGGTCTCCCGAACCCTGCGAGAAAACACCGGAGAACGTCGCGTGACGTCTCCCGTTGCCGTGCCTAGCGCGCACGGTCGGTTTCTGCCTCGCTCAGGCCGACATCTCAGTATATCGCTAAATTAGCTTTAATGTTATAGCGGATTTTTTATTCTTAACTTAGTGATACCATTACCAACCTTGTTTAAATCATGTATTCTCGCAGGTGTAACCATATATCTCGTATACATAATTTATTTCATTTTATTGTTCCATTCGTTGCGAACTCGCATTGTGCTGCGCTTTTGATTAATTTATGCTAAAAAGCACAATATAATAAAATAATAATCAATAATAAGAAAGAATATTGCCTCGCTTCCTGCTAGCTGGCATTTATCGGTATGGTCCCGTCGGCGACATGCCAAACGCGTAAAAAGCCTCTTTTCTTATCGCAGATAACCAAAGCATGTCACCATGACCGTCACGTGTTGGACGAGCAGAGTGCTTTATTATCGACCAAGCCCAATCTAGCATTCATTAGGACACAGACTTTTTAATAAACACATCGTTCAGACCAAAACATATCAAGTGAAATTTGACCGCTAATAAATCACTTAAACGTTCCAAAGGCGAAAAAAAAACGACAGTCCAATGTGTAGCTACCATACCACGAGTATATTCGAAAAAAGCGCAAATTTTGGTTTCGAGAAGCTGTTCGCGAGCAACCAGCCCCCCCACCCCGTTCTTTGCACACCTGGGGCTACCGGCGCCACCTGGAGGCACGTGTCAGGCCGCTGCCACTGCATTACCTTCAGCCTCAGCACGGCGTCGACGGCCAGATGCGCAAAGTGCTCCTTGTGCTGCGTGACGATCTTCGAGCTGAGCGTTGTTCGCGCGATGTTCAGCAGGTCGTGCTTGAACTTCTCCGGGTTGCCGCTGAAAAGAACAATGCACCACTGACACCTCGTTTCCAAAGCCCTGCATTCCACACTGCCTGCGTTCCCAAATTCTCACCCGCCACAACAGAAATTTGTCCAAAACACCCGCCCACTAACTAAAAACAATGTTCCTTCATAGAACATGCTTCTAATGCCACCAAAATAGCTTAGAATGCACCAAATGCACCTATTATTTTTCAAAAAAATTCTGGGGGGTGTGTCCCTGCTCGCTTTGCGTAGACCTCGAAACGCCACAATATCATTACCAAAAGATCTTACCCAAAACCTCACAGACCTTATTAAAGGAACACTTGAAAACACATGTCTGCACTGATGTCACGCAACCACGGCGAATCGTCCTTGCGAAATAAATCCCCACACGGACGATCTCGAACTAAGGTTTTTTTTATTGCCCCCTCT